CTTCGAGGATGCACTCCATCTGAGGATGCACTTTCTGAACGTCCCTTATCCCTTTACACTTAACATTAGTACTCATATTCTCCATACTGTTCTCTTTAAATTTTCTGTAGTAATGACATGGAGAATTTGTGTGACAATCAGGGGCTACTTAAATTGGTGATCATATCTTTTATTCTCCTGAGCTTTAGATTTGCTCCAATGGTAATACTGTAAGGACAAATTAGAACACAGTCACCCCAAGGGGTAAAATATTAAAAATCACAATGCCACTTCATTTAAGTGTCGAAAGTGATGTGTTACCAAATTGGTTTTACTGTATTTTGCTCTGTTGGACTAAAAAACTCGCGCCACTTTCTCTACCAATCAGATTCGAAACTATTAATTGCGACTTGCCACTTACGTTTTCCCGCGCTTTGGGCAGTGTGCTTTTTTTTAAGTTGAGTTCCGATTGGCTCCTTGTCATAAATTCCCTTGTTAAGACACTCAATCGAAATGCGCCCTAAAAGTGAAATGATGGGAAATGGGTGGTTGCCGAGAATAGCGTCGATGTCACTCGTGTATGACTTGAAAATTGTTCAACTTTCTGGTTTGACCAATAGGACAAAAATAGGTGATTTAACTTCTAGTCACCATTTACACAAAAATGGAAAAAAACCAGTTATTTTGCTTTCTATCTTCTTCTGTCCTCTTAAGCTGAAGTTCAAAGTACCCTTTGGCTTCTCTGTCATTAATCATAAAAACAGACCATTGTTTCTCGTGCTTTGTTCATTTCAGGTTTATCAAATTTACGCCCGACGACCGCCCGAAGAAGTCTACAAGATTCTTCGGCAACACGGCACAGACTACATTATTTTAGAAAACAGCATCTGTCTTTCACAACAAGATCGGGGTTGCAGGCTTGTCGACCTACTCGATTTGGATAATGGTCACATGATCGAGGGCGGCCAATCAGAGGAAGGATTGCATTTAACAAATGTTCCCCGTTTCTGTAAAGCTATAAAAACAGATGTTAAGAATTTTAGTCCGTATTTTAAGAAAGTTTTTGAAAATCGTACTTTTTACTTGTACAAACTTTTATGAATATGAACGTGTTTTTGTCAGTTTCATATCCAACCTTGTCACTTCGTCACAATATAACGGTGGAGGTTTTCCGGCCCAGACAATGGGTACAAATGTCATTAATGGTTAAAATTATTTAGGCCACAATTGAATAAACATCGATATTTGAATTTTGAAAAACAGGCTATGATCAGCGGTATTAATACAGTTAATAGTGATCTTTTTAAAGTTTTGTCAAGTTTGAAAGCGTCACAGAATTCTTGCTTCATTGCTCAGTTCGTTGAAGGTTAAACGGTCAGAGGCTAAAAGTATCGCTAGCATTGAAGAGAACGAGCTCCAGGCCCCAATTTTTTTTCCGGTCACATTTCAATGACTAGTCTTGAGGGACGAAATTTGACTTCACTGGTGTTGGCACAAGCAGACGTTTATGAAAACAGGAATAAACTATATCCAGCCAATCCGAGCTATGCATAGAGTTAAGTTAAATTTAGTTGCCCCAAACTCACCACAAACTGAAGGTAACGATTGGGCTTATTGGACTCTTTGGTTTGTAAATGTCTGGTATGAACATTTTCTATGGCAATTTTCATCTGGGTATAGTGAGCAATTAGGGAATGCATAGCTGAGTTTTGTTTTTTTTCATCTGATTGGTCGAGAAATTTGGCGCCATTATCCTAAATAATCAGTTATAGAGCTTATACGTGCACCAGTCGTAACACATCACATCATTGGCCCTTCCAGAAGCATCTGTTTGTTCTAGTTACCCGGGCCCGTTGTGGTTAGTTTGGTCTTTGTTTTCCCAACAGTAAGTCGAAAAGCGCTTAACGTTTACGGTCTGCAAGGCGTCATTCCTATTCACCGTATAGCTGGTGAAACCTTGGCCCCTTTTGCAAGGAACCGAGTTGTGACTTCTCTGCCGAAGTTGTTTGACACCCTGACAAAAACTTTCACCGCAAGAGAAATAAATACACGGATTCAACGCGGAGTTACAGAGACTCGAGAACTTTGCAACAAAGTTTAGATGGTAACCATGACAGACTGATGTGGACTTGGCAGTAGAGCAATAAACACTGGCGAACCAGAAAGGAAACTAACGTATTTCAAATGTCAAAGCAATCACGCAACATGACAGACACCCTTCTGTTTATCATTTCATTCCTTTGATTTGATCGGCTTGTTTGATTCATGGCAAGTTTCTTAAACCAAAGTTTCATGCCAATGGCCATTACTACTAAGGGCGTGGCTACGAAAACTACAAAATGAAAATGAAATACACTTGAATGGACGGAAGACTGTTGAAGTCTGAGTTGCAAATTTTTGTAATATTTTCAGTTTTGATTTGATAAACTTCAAAGAGAGGCGAAGTGAAGGTAATCGTAGTCAGCCATATTAAGGTAAGATAAGCTTTGCAGCGCGCGGAGTGATGACCTTCTTGCGAAAGTGAAACATCAGAAGGAAACGATCAACGGCAATGGCTGATAAGCTGCCTGTTAAAATATTTACGGCCTGAAACCAGAAAAAATTGAGAGAATTAGGCCAAATATTCCAGAAACCAACCATTTAGGACCAGCCTCTGCTGTAATCAGTTCAACCGGTATGCTAAAAACCGTTACAACCAAGTCCGCGATGGCCATGTTTACTAAGAAATAATTACAGGCAGCCTTTGTCCTGTTGTGAAAGATGTTGTTGCTTTGTATCAAAACGATTTTAACTGCAACGACCACAGTATTTCCCGGGAGGGAAATACAAAAGATGATCACATAGGTAGTCAACTTAAGTTGCCACAAAGGTTTGTATGGCGAAACAAGACTTTCATTGTTCCTGTTGGAACTGGCACCATGCATACGTAAAGTCAAAGGGCTTCTATTCGAATCTGAGAAAAATAAGAGTCAATGAACGTTACAATGAGAAAATTACTGTGCAATGTGGTCAGTCGAAATCTCTTGCAGAAAAGCGGAGAGGCGGATTTGTTAAATTATTTGCCTATGTTAGAGAATGATTATTATAATTAAGGAACTTTGTCTAAAGTTCTCTAATAATTTATTTAGCTTTATTAAATAATACATCCTACATAAGTTTTCAATAAAGCACTCCAAATTGTTCCTTTTCATATTTGAGTTTGATGTTGAGATGTTCAGCAGTTGACGGAGATTAGCTCCCACTATCACTAGTTCCGTCGCTCCCAGAAGATAGAGTTTACCTACATAGTTATTATCTTACAGAAAAACGTTTATAACACCATATTAAGCAAAAGTCGAAATTGCACGGATTCGAATTTAACGGTCTCAGTGTGAATCACGAACCCAGAAATTGAAATTCTTTCCTTTTTAATTCTTGATTCTATTAGTCAATGGCGACTTCCGTAACTTTACCTCTCAGTCACAACATTCACATCTCACTATATGAGATTCATGGTCATTTTAATTGATACGATACTTTAAATTTGAATAAGAGGGAAGTAAGGGAGGGGTGGAGGTGGGGGCTCTTCATTTGATGAAGTTTACCCTTAACAACCATTTCCGTTCTACTTTTGGTCTCAACAACCATGGAGAAGAAATCTCAAAGAGAAGAAAAAGGAGACAGAAAGGGCCAGTTATTTAAACAAAGTTTAGCCGTTGTTTAACAAAACCGCTATCTTGAATTTAGCTGAATCTTTTATCTGAACATTTATTTTTGTGCACAGTGTCAAGAGGGCAAAAAACTAGCACTGAAAGGACATTTTATGAAAACAACCCTTAACCGGACCAAAATGTTTAAAATACGTGAACTTGTGTTTTAACATCAAGTAAATGTGTCTAGGCTTTCCTCTAAAAAAATCATAAAACGTACTTTTACTTCGTTTGTTTTATTTAGACAATTGTATCAGTCCTTCGTTTTAATAAGGTTTGGCTGAAGGGTTTTCAAGAACACACCGGAACAGGTTACTCTACAAAGGGGACATTAGAACTCGTTCAATTTCCTACAAATTGTTGTTCATTTTTCACACGGTTACATGCATAGATCGTAAAATTCTTACTTCATTTATTTGTTTTTACACTTGGTTCCATCAGAGGATAGAAAAATTAAAGAATCAGGCAGAAATGCTTCCCTTTTATTCTATCATGTAAATGGAATGTAATCATGGCCAAACCGAGAGCTGCATTTACTGCATGTAATGTATCAAAGGAAAATGGTGACACTCAAGACTGAGCATGATATTACACAATTCTAGTTTCATGGAAATCAGAGATTAGAAAGTTTGGTAAACAGTTAACTGTGGTCAAATCTCAAATTATAGAGAGATTATTCAAAACGAAAGGGGTCACCAGTTTTACTTATGACACCTTGCGAAAATCAGTTGCTATTCAGCCCAACTAATGTGCAACGTAAATAGAAAAAACGTCTTCCGTCTCGGTCGGAGATCGAACAACCTATCACAGTATCCCTTTCTATTGCAAAAGTACTGGTAAGTTAAGAAGCTATCAATTCAGGATATTTCATAGAACTATTGGCACGTATGTAATGTGGATGAAACAGATTGGGCCTAATATTTTCACGGAATTTTCCCCAGATGAAATGTTTTTTTGTGTCTTTACCGTAGTGGCAGGTTTAGCTTGATTTTTATCAATTGCTGATCGACATGAGTACGTTAAAGTCAAGTGCTTTATTTCAGATTATTCTCATATCAAAGATAAAGACCTTGGTAGCTTGATCGCTCGTTAGGTGCCAGCTCAAGTATTCCTCAATGGCCCAAAGTTAGGTTCTGGTGCCCATAAGAGCCTCTTCACTCCGCTTTCTGAACTAAGCAAAAGCACATAACAGATCAAGGAGGGAGGAGGGTAGACGGCATGTGCCTCTTTCCCCTTGATCTAGTCTCTTTCCTTAATGTCGGTCAACGTATGATGTTACATGAAGTATTTACCCTATTGAGCCCGCCAAAACTATTTATAGGGCAGCGGACGCGCTTTCAAAAATAATATGGCGGCCAAACGAGTTTTCGACGTGAATGAAGCTTCGGTAAGTGTTATGTGTTTCACATTTCACCTGAACTATTTATTTTTCAGTGATGCAATCTGATAGAAATAGCTTTCTCTCAGATTGTAGACTTAAAAGCTGAACTCGCCCGGAAAGAGTCGCAGTTCAAGCGAGAGAAACTTGGAGGCGAAAAGATATTAAATCGACAACCTAAGGTAGGTTCAAACGTCTGCATTGTGGTCCTTCCTAGCTTAAATTTAGGTAAAATTTCCGCAGAGCCCCATACTATTGTAAAAAAAATCTGTTTTCCCAATGGCAATTTATTGTTTTTGTCATTGTTTTCTCTATTCAAGAACTGAGTGCATAATCTAAGATGGGGCTCAGTGCGGAAATTTTACCTAAATTTATAAGATAGAAGCAACAAATTGGTACAAATAAATTGAGGCTGCGTGTATGCGTAGAAAAATAAATTAATTACATGTACTGCATAGTGCTAGAACAATTGCATTGTACAATAATTGGCCATATTAATTAAACGCTGGATAAAGTCATGCAAATTGCAATTTAATCAATTACATCTCCTACCGAAATTAAAAGGCTCGTTGGATACCAGAATACTAAATTAAGTACATGTGCTGCATAGTGTTGGCACAATTACATTGTATAATCATTGACCAATGTTAATCAAACTTTGCATAAAGTAGTGTTCCTTTTATCATACAAGTTGTGATTTAATCAATAAGGTTTCTTTCCTTCTGAGATTAAAAGACTAGTTGAATATCACCCAAAGTTATACTAAGGAGAGGAGAGAGCTAAAACAAATAAATTAGACAGAAAAAAAAGGCAACCAAGAATTCTACAACTTACAGTTTTCCATGAACTTGTTTGAAACCAATGATTTTCAGCAATCCTGGTAACTTAATGTGAAAAATGAATATTTCTTCTTTCTAATTCTGTTGAAAAATTGAATATATTTCTAGAAACCTCCAGTGTGGGCTAAAGTTAAAAAGGAGACAAAAGTTACAAACTCAGGGAGTTTACCTTCCAAACAAGATGAATTGTCATTAGAGGAACAACAAGCTCTGCAAAAATCAAGGTACCACCATCAAACTAATATCATTGTTATTACGTTTATTCCCATTCAGTTATCAGCAATTTTGAAGGGAATTTCAGAAATGTAGTACTGAGTGCTTATAAATTTTGTTAAAGTAGGCTAACTTCAGATAAAATGTAACTATGAACATAAAAATCAGAGATACAGTACTGTAGAAGGTTTTTTGAAGGTGAGAGACTATCAAGCTTCTGCCAAAGATATAGGGCAAGTTTAATTTATCTGAGCATTTCTGGACTGTCTTCATTTTGCAATGGACTGATTTTAGAGAACAGAGATTGATGTACTCAGCTAAAATAAAGCATATGACATTTGTTGAGTACTGGCTGACTTTCAGTGTATCCGTTAAGAAATTAGGAAAATGTCTCTTCAACAGTTTAGTACTGGAATGCAAGACATTGCCTTAACCAACTCATACAACTTACTGTTGGTAGATTTGTTTCTTTTTTTTTAATGGATGTTAATGTAGTCAATGTGTTTTTAAAAATTGAATTTTATATTGTGGCTGTTGTTGTTGTTACTGACAGAAGTTATTGTATATTTAAAATAAAAGAAATTAGGTGAAGTTGAAAATGTCTTAAGATGTAACTAATTTCATCAAATTTATTTTTTTTGTAGCCAAAATTGAGACCTGAATTTAAAAATCCTAGTGTCATTCCTGTGCTCTGAGCCCAGGAATGAGCCCAGACTGAGGAGTACTCCTCATTTGTGTCCCAACAGGAGGGTAAAATTTTATTTCTTAAAAAATTTTAAGTTGTTTCTTAGTTCCTATGGGTTTATTTTTTTGTTTGACTTCGATTGTACAAACCTGAAATGGTTCTATATTAATGAAACACAGCCTTAAAAATTGAAAAAAAAAATTAATTGAATGATATTATGGGAGGTTAATGAAAGAATGTTGCTCCTTTTTGCATTTGTTTTAGGCAAGCTTTGGAAGCCAAAGCAGCATTGTATGAGAAGATGGCAAGAGGTGAAATTGAAGGTGAGACACTGTATGTTACTGCATGTGAACAAGATATGTTGAAGTGTTTTGTTATATTTCTGTTTCATTTATTTTATCCTTATTTCATATATTTTTTTTACCTTCTTTTGTTGAAGATGAAGGTGATGATGAAGAAGAAGGGAGATTTTTGGTGGACTTCCACAAGAAAATTTATTCAAAGGTATGGCAGGAAATCAATGTCATATTTTTTTTCATTGCAGAAGCATTACAACCAACCTTTTTGCCCTAGTAACGACACATACATCGGTAATCATCTTCCATGTCAGATCTTGGTTTTAATACATTTGGTAAGATTTGTGGTACCCTTAAAAAGTCCTTTGTAGGTTATCCTATGTTGTGTGCCATTCCAATGGTTTAATTAAAAGGTTGAAAAAGTAATTTTGTACTTTCACTCAGACTTCATGTGATGTAAGAGTTTATTTTCAAACTGGTTGTGCATTTTCCCCTAAAGGATGAAGAGCATCTCCAGGATTCAGATGAATTGAAAGATGAAGACATACCACCCCCCTCAGGACCTGAAGAGGAATGGTTGGTCATAATTTGCCCTCACTTTTAATGTTGCTCTGAAATCCTGAGCATTTAGTTATGAAAGAACTATGGACTGAGAAAGCCACCTTTCGCATATAAAGCCAATTGATTTATTTTTCATCACTGCTAATATTTATGCACTGTTAATCTTGATAGTGAACCACAATTGAAACGGTATTAAGCAGCACAGTATTAGCAGTCACATTTTACAAGGGGTCAGTTGTCTGTCTCAAAAAAGTTTCTCCTTAATTACTGTAATATTTGTACCTATCTTAAGTGATTGTGATAAAACTGGTCTGAGTCTTAAAGGCCAATTTGTATTTTCTTTTTCTGTATTGAACGGTCACTTAATGTGGGACCACTCAAATGAGTGATTCCCTTTACATTGTACAAAATTTTTGCACACGTAGATGATACATTCATTGGTTTTCAGGGTTGATTATGTAGATTCACTGGGTAGGGAAAGGAGATGTCTGCGTAAAGATCTGAAACATCTTCAAGAGATGGATAAAGAAATGAATGCTCCAAAGGGGTGAGTATAAGAGTTTCAGTCCTAAGAATATTGTATTGCTATTTCTCTTAACAGTTTTCTATGTTAAATTACCATGTAATTTGCGTTCCTGCCAAACCCTCTCGTACACGCCACACGCATATTTCCTGCCAAAGCACTGCTATATAGTGCTTGCCTCCCGCTGAAACCCTTGCTTGGCTCCCACGCCATATTCTAGGTCTACCATTCCTACCAAACCCCTCTTATAGTGGGTTTTCCGCCAAAACATCGTATTGCGCACCCCGTGTTTGCAGTTCCCGCCAAAATGCGACCAATCTTACGACGTTGCATTACTGCTCAGCAATTTTTCAACTCGCCGCAAAAAACGTGGTACCTACCCTTATTGTAGCAAGATTTCTTTGTGTTTCTAGTCCCCCGACACTTTTATCTGAAGACATGCGGAGAGAGCTCGCGAGGCAAGAATGGGAGAAAGAAGAGGAAGAAGCCATGAATAAACCCATTGGACCTGTTCATTATCAAGATATACGCTTTGATGGTAAATTTGATATTCATTGGTGACCGTTGTCTGGAAGGTTTCAATTCCAATCCATATGGGGAGCTCGGATCATTTCGTTACAGTCCCTTAATTATCAATTTCTGAAATCTAGAACATATTCGCCTTCCAGTAACAAAAAAAAGGAGAAAGCTTTCGCTTGTAAAAGGTGTGCAATACGGCTTATGATCAAACCTGCAGTCTTGTTTCCCAATCTCCAGCTCGTCTCTATACAGCAGGGATTTATCTGTAGCCCGAAAACAACACTTGTCAAACTTTAATATCTGCAAAGTTTTCTGCAACATATATCAGTTTCTAGCATAATAAAACATTACTTGGACTGAGCACCCTGTGTTGCACGGTGTAAAAATTTTTTGGAACTTGATGCCCTCGCAACCATCTAGTCTGTGACAAAGACAGACAAAATATCTCTGTTTAATATTAAAATCCTCCCGTTCCTTTTTTTATTGTAGAAATCCGCAATCATGGTGTGGGATATTATCAGTTTTCAACAAACGAAGAAGAAAGACAAGAGCAGATGAAAACGTTAGATAAACTGAGGGATCAGGTATGGAAACAAACAATTTTAAACGAAGAGAAAGGAAATTAGTCCTAGATTAAATAATTTTCTCTTGATTCATTGTAATGTTTATTTTTTTGTCTTATCAGACAATGGAGCAGCGAGTTCGTACTCAGAAATTAAAAGACAAACGAAAAGCTGCAATGGACGCTCGTCTTGCTAAAGTAAGAGAAAGAAAACTGAAAAAACTGAAAGCTTCCGGCGAACTAAGCGAGGAATCAGTAGAGACGAATGGACAATTGCAACGGAATGAGAAAGAACAGAAAGACTCAGAGGATACGAGAGAAACAACAACATCAGAACAAAATGTTGAGGAGGGATCACTTGAGAAGGAAGAGGAACATGTTGATATGCCTCGAAGGCCTTTGAAAAAAGAGGATTTACCCGAATGGGCACGACACAAAATTAGTAAGCTTACTGACATGTGTTATTTCCCTAGTTGATTTTACTACCAATTTCTGCGTGCAATGCCATACTTACGGCTTATTTTCGTCAGCCCTTTGCTCTCTTTTCACTCTTCTCCTCTGTTTCCACTCGACCATCCTTCAGACTCCTTTCAATACCCTTGCTAGTGGCAGAAAAATCTGACAGAACTCGCTCTTTGTTGTATAGTCCTGTTCTCAGTTTTCTGTCTCCACCTGCCTCTCCCAAGTCTATCCTCCACCTTCTTTTCATAACCCATGCGGATCAATGTCAGTATCTTAGCAACTGCGCACCTACCCCTCCCCTAACCCGACGAGGGAGGGGGTAGGTGCGCAGTTTCTCAGTCGCCGATATTGATTCACACATGCTAGTTACATTATTCCTTCTCCTCTCAACAGAGCAATGGGACCAACCTCGATCGTCACCACGTACAGACCCGCGATTAGAAAGAGACCAGGAATTTGCACCACCTTCCTTTTACTACGAAGAAACTAACACCACCCAGAGCAGTAAAAACACTCGGAAAGAATCGAAAAAACTAATTAATCAGCAGAAAGAAATCAAGAATGAAAGATATCGGGAGAATGAGACTCGTGAGATCTCTCATGATGAAGAACAAAAAGAATTCAAACCACTAGAACAGCAACAACAATTACAGCGACCAATTCAAACTCAACCGGTTGCTTCATATACCCCTGATATTCCCCGTCTTCCCCCTCCTCCACAAGAATTTGTTCATCCGCCGTGGTCTGGGTATCCGTGGCGTCCCCCTCCTAACATCCCACCACCGCCACTGCCACTGGTAAATCAGATACCATGGCAACCAAATTTTCCTTATAACGTTCCACCGCCTCCAATTCCTTGGCAACCCAATGTTACTCCATGGCAACCCTATCAGGCGCCGTCCACATTGGGAGCTAGCCCCGTCTCCAGCACGCACGTGACTCAGGGTTCAAATCCATCGAATCCTTCAAGGGCTAACATGTCCCTGTCTGCGAAAGACACATCGGACGAGAAAACAACGATGGCGGCGGAGAATACTGAGACTATGAATGATCCTAATCAGGTCCAGCGTAGAGACAGAACAATTCCGTCAACAGAGGAACTTGCTGGCTTTGTAGCTCGCTGTCGATCAAGTACTTGAAATAAATGAAATTACCTTTGAAAGATCTAAGCTTCAAATGTTTATCTTCACTCACTGTTTTAAACAATGCAGTAGATTTTTTTTAATGAAAATTAAACATATTTGGCGCTATGTAAGGTTATTTTGTTTGTTGTGCCTTATTGCTGGGTCGTAGACAATATTTTTTTTTCAAGAGAGATGAAATGGTAGTATTATTATGGTGTTATCAGCCTAACACCACAGTCCACATCTAAACTTAGAAACCTATTTTGACTTGCGCATACTTTCCAATGAGACCAAAATGGTCCAAATTTTCAATATTTCCTTCGAGCAAGTGAGAATGTTTTCTTCAGAATGCCTTAAGCTGAGGTCTTTGGGAGCATATCCTTTAAAATAATGATTACAGGTCTATCTTCAATATTTTTTTGACAATCTCTTTCAAATTTGAGAATACCTCGAAATCAAGAGAATCAAGGAAGGAAAGAAATACGATACAATTTCTAACATGGTGAAATCATTGGCTTTTAATAACAAGTTAGCAATCTAAATCCTATCAGTCTGCGTTGGACGATTTAACCTGGATTTAGCGAATGTTTGCAATTCGAAACTAACTCAGTCAATAATGAATAAAATTGCATACACAGAAATGAATAGATTTATTCACTGTATAACTTCTTGGATGTCTCTCTGATTGAGGTGGATCTCAGTTGTTTTCAGCAGTGTTCGTTTGATGAAATAATTCTACCGTAAATACTTTTAGCTGTTTCATCAGTGTCAGAGAAATACCTCGTCATCACTGTCCTTGTTATATGATCCATCTGACCTATCAAGTTACCATAGCAACGGTTTAACCGATTGTATTATATTCAAGTTCTGGGGGTAGTTCCGTAGGCAACTACAAACATTTTTCAGAAGTTAATAAATAGATGAATATCTCTTCAAATAATACCCTTTCCTTCTTCCCTGTTAAATGTAATCCTATGGAAAAAACATTAGGGTAAATATGAAACCCTCGGAACTTGCTGTGATTAATTCAAGCAGGGAGCAAAGGGCGAGATGATTAATTATTCATTCATGTTTGTCTCACACCTTGGGTCAGTGTGACATTACAGCTAGCATTTTGCTTCTTCAAATCAAGCCTTGACATATTCTGCCGGTTTCTGCACTCGTAGCTGCTTCAAAGATTACTTTTAAGACGACTGTCAGGCGGTTTCCCTAGTTCTGGTTCAGCAACCTAAGATGATGGTGTACTTTTGCGGAATGCTGGTGACGTTACACGAGGTGAGAGAGAAATTCGTTTTTATAGTGCTCTCTTCTTCGAAGATCTCGTCTAAACACATCTCTCTAATGAATCATTTGCAGAATTTTCATAGGTTATTTGCTTAAGTCGGCGTTGCGTTTAATTATTGTACTTCTACTTTCTTACAAACTTCTCTGAGATGTTGATTGGATCAAATCTTTTGAAAATTACCAGAGAAAAGTTCTTCATTAAAATTTTATCTCGTCCTAAATGTTGTGTTTGTCCATTCGTTCACAGTTAAGCAATACATGTACCTTGTGCCTTCGAGCTCTGAGCTTCTCGAGTTACCTTACAAGTAAGTATCTAGACTACTTGAGTTTTTTTTCACAGATTTATTGTTAAGACCTCCAATTTGGTGCTCTTAGTTTCAAAGTGTAATACAGCTTAAAATGTTATATAACGACATGTAACAACAAAAACTACAAATGAATGTCCTATTCTCTATTCTCTATGTTTTTATTTTTGGTTCGTGTCTTTTTTTCTCTTGGACTACGGTTTTTTGATGATGGAAGAGGCAGGACTCCCATTAAATACGAACTTTTTGATGAGAGTAAGTCAAATATGGACTTGATATATACACTCAAATGCAAAAAATGTTGATACCTAAAAGAGTTTCTCGATGGCGTTAACCAATAGGAGTAAAACGGCCAAAAATTTAACCGCTAGGCATAAAAATTGACAAATTTAAACCAATAGTCGTAATAAAGGTTAACCGTTCTGACAACAATGGAATGAATGGACCGATAGTTGTAGAATAGCCAACATTTTAACCGTTAGCCGTAAAAGCCATCACCTCGTTAAGACCCACCTAAAAAATATGATCTAAGAATGATGAGACCCAACGGCTTTATGGGAAATGTTCGTTCAGATACATGATTAGTGATTCAATTTTCTCACTATTCCTGAAAACCTTTGTTAAGATTATCCTTTTCTTCCAGGTAAGCGTGGGTATCTCACATAAATTACCACGTGCTAATGGTGGTTATCAGGTATATGTGTGCCCAGAGAACCTCAGGGTCTCATCTTTCATTGTAAACGTGTCAACGATTATGCAGTCGAGTGTACATTTTGCAGCTGAAACGATTGAGGGACGGATAGCGCGAGCATGCTACATTGAATTCGTGGTAAAATGGGTCGCGAAATTCGAGAAAAGCGAGAAGCCAACCCTTGTACTAACCATGTGCAAAACTAAGGAAAAAAAGGGGAAAAAGATGGAGATGGGTATTTAAATTCACGAATGATGCATCAAAATATAACGATAAATGCCTTCTAAAGAAAGAAAGTTAAGCGGGAGAATTCTGCCTCTTTTATAAGAGTCCTTTCCCTAGAGGCCATTTTTAGCACGGACTGTTATTGTATGGTGCGCGACATTTTACTTAAGAAATGCATCCATTAAATTTGCAGAGACGTGAGAAGGAAATGGAAACCGACGTTGAAAAGAGGATTGGAGAGCCTGAATGTGGAATGTAAAGGAAGAAGTTAAACGTAAGTTCTTCATTGTGTTGTTTTACTGGTAGTTCAAAGCAGTTCGCGACAATTAAACATTGAGAACGGCGCCAAAATACTTCCTGCATTCTGCCATTGTTTGAACTATTCCAAACTATTACGTCGATATATCTTTGTTACAGACGTTTTCTTTGTTTTCTTGCTCCTTACTTGCTGTTGCTAAACTTTTGGACCCAGTTGCTCTCAAATTTATTTTGCTGATAAGAGACTGGACTCACTAGGAACTTTAAATGCAAAATCAAAATTAGCGAATAGTGATGAGTATTATTTTCGTCTTGATTATTTGCAGTCATTTGCAAAGTTTACCAGACTGCTATTCTTAAATTCGGAAAGTAACTTTCACGTCTGAATATTATTTTTGTTTTAGAATCTGAAATACTTGTATAATTATTGAGTATTTGGAACTAAAAATGTCTTAGAATAAATTTAAGTGATTTTCTCAGGAACCATGTTATCACAAGAGATGAGTTATTAAATTTTGAGAGTAGTTTTAATTTAGTTAAAAATTGAAGAGCCCCTTGACACCGTCTCAGCCTAAAAATGTACTTTTTAAGAAAAGAACATGGATTTTTTGAGAGATTTTAGTGCGATGGTCTGGGCGAGGGCAGTTCGGAAAAAAAATCTGTTGTCAGTAAAAATGACTGACGTTAAGAGAACTTGAGCGAAAGTCTTCATTTGTCTGAGTTGAGAAGCTACTTTTAATCGATTGTTGTTAGTCTGGTTAGTTTTTGTTGCGGATCTCTAAAGAGACCAACACGAGCCCGTTAGAAAACACGGACCTTTTCAAACAGATAACTTCTCCAATATAAAATAACGACTACCACGATCCTAACTAGACCAGTAGTGCAGGTTTGCAACATACCAGGCAGCTAATCTTACAACAAAAAAAAGAATAGAGAGAGAAATACTTGACGGTGTTTTCTTTGTGACTTTTCCTATTTGCTTGTTTGATGGTTTATTTGGCTTGTCATGTCAATAATCAACGTTTTCATTGGATTTACAGAGTAGAGAGACGGAAATGAAAAATGTTATTGGAAAAGAGGATTGGTAACTGGAAATAGAAAAAGAACGAAGTTAAGCGAAGAACTCAGCTAAACGTAAGTTGTTCAATTTTTAGTTTAGTTGGTAGATTAACTCTATCCATTAGAATTTAATGCACCGATCAATTCGAAGCTTCAACATCTCACCCCCGGGAAATACACGGGCACTTGTCGTCTGTGTCCGCGGAAGGGGAATTGGACCTTGCCTGGCAGAGGTGGGGAATTTGAATCGGAAGTGTCAAGTCTCTCCAGCGGAGTACACGTGCTTTATCTTTTAATATGGAGGTGTTTAAAGGTAAAGAGTTCGCTTTCATGAGAGAATGGCCCGGGAGAAAAAGTTCTTTAAGGTCTATACTATAATGCATGGCAAATGACTAGACAGTCACGGTCCCTAATTTTGACTTCTACGAAAAAAATGACCATCAAGTCTGGCTCTTGGGTGGGGCAATTGAAAAGAATTTTGGCCCCCAGGGGGACTGGAATTGCCCGGGAGGGATGTTGAAGCTTCGAATTGATCGACGCATAAATCAAGGCAATCCATTACAATGAAACTGGAAGAACGGGGCCAAAAATTTCAACGAATGCCACCATGAGTCACGAAAACCACTATAAAATTATGAAGTTTCTGTGAAGACATTTTCAACGTGTTTTGTTTACCTTATTGCCTTTTATTTCTTAGCTCCAGGAATATTCCAGATTGTTTGAAAAGCTTAAAGACTGAAAGATCAAAACGAATGTAAATTACGTTTTTCTTACGGTAGAAATCTTTTCAAGCAAATAACCTTCACTTCCGAATGAATTAAAAAATGCTTTGGAAAATGACTGGAAAATTTCGTGAAACTATATTAACAGGTTTTGAGTTCAAAAGGTATTTCTCAAATAAGCAGGAAATAATATTTACATTAAAAACGAAAGTTTTGGCTCAAAATTGCTCAGATGTAACTCAAAGATGTGGTTAAACCAAATTCGAACGTATTTTTTATCTGAAAGAAGCTCATACACGTGGCAATTTGCTACATTTCTTGGATATTTTCAAATAATCAAACATTGAAGACAACGTGACTGAGTTTGAAGTCGGATGAATTACTTTTAAACCTCGATAAGAATTGTACGAGATTCTGCAATATGAGTGTTGATGCAGGTATCTGTGTAAAAGGAAAACAATTTAACTGCAAATGAATGTTCGATATTCGTTATAACT